CAACTTAGAGTCCAAATATCGTTTTTTGGTTATAACGAGCTGTTTCTGATAAAGCGAATAATATTCTTTAAACATATTTTTAAAGATGATATATTTTTCAGATAAGATCTCATGTTCTCGTGTCCTTTGTCTTTTTTTTTAAATATTATGTAATTGAGGTGTGAAAATACTATATAATAAAATGAAATGAAACACCCCACATTTTTTGGAGAAACTTTTAATTCTGTTTAGAATTTGGGATACTCCTTTAATAGCTTACGATTTCCCGCGCGATTTTTCATACGATTATTCTTTCGAGTTTTGTTACGGGTTGTTTTGGTGGTTTGTGTTTACATATCGGATTTGCTACCAACAATTACGAATAAGTGTAATGGGACCCGATAGTAGGATCCGATTTCGGGTCACCAAAAAAATTCGATCCAACCACTTTTTCAACTTTTTCCAATAATATCACCTAATGTTAGTGTTTGGTCAATCTTAATATTGACCAATGTTGCCACTGTTGCCAGGACAATTGTCCAATCATTATCGTCAACGTAATTTTGTAGGGAATAACTCACCTGCATTTCTGTTATATGAGTGGTAGTTCTAAATTTTATAGCACTGTTTACAAGAAAAAGATGAAAAAAATATTAGGCACAACCTATTTGTTTTTGAGAATCATTCTTCTAATCACCATACTCTTGTCAAATGAAATTTGAGGTTGACTGCAAAAATTAAATACGTAGATTCTAATTGGAAAAATCAGAGGTTACGAATAGCAGTTAACCACGTCATATCACCGTAATTTTTTACTCAATGATAGTACACCAAGTGGCACATTTAATACAATTTTCCTTAATATCGGTAACGTACAATTACCAATGTAAATCCTTTGATTCTATGCGATTTTTTTTGTAATAGATTTTCATCTCACATTGCAAACAGTAAGTAAGCGGTAAAAACGGATCGAGGGTTAATTATGGTCCTTAATTTACACTTTCAATTTCACAGGGATTATTCCTCATTGTTTGCCGTGCCTACATTAAAAATGCGATTTACGTGATGAATAACCGGCAATGTTTATTCTAACCAAATTTTGTGAGATTAATTTACCTCCCCCGAAATGCCTAGGTACTTTTTACGTCGCAAGTAAACTTGGTCTGCATTTAACCACATTATATAAAAGGTCAGACAACAGGAGAGTCTCTCAATTCCTTGAATAATAAAAATTTTACATAAAACTTTATAGTCGAGTGTGCTTAATGATACTCATCCGTTTTGTTTCCTTCCTTCCACAATAAACTTTGAGTTTTCCTCCAGTTTTCCATTTTCATTTATATATAATTTCACGTTATTTGGGTGTATTTTGTCAAAGAAGACCTTTTGATTTATGATACCTGGTGGCCAAATAAGCATGGCAGTGGCAGACGACTATATTTCAGAACGTAATAAACATGGAGCTACCCATAAATTATTTATTTATATAAATGTGGCAAACAAAAAGTGTTTTTATTTCCATGCTATTGTCGTTAGTAGAAAAATTTGCCCTTAATCTAAGTATATACTAGCTCCCCTAATTAGTTTAAATATTTTTTTAGGGAAAAATCTGTTTACTAATTTGCCGTTTTACAAAACCGTAATAGTTATTTACCTAACAAGTTCGGTAAGTTAATTTTTCCGCACACTTTGTTTGCAGCACGACCGTAGGGAGTGCTGCATTTAGTGGGAATGCGGAAAAATTCTTTCCGAAAGAGTTGTAACGAATTGCGTAGAAAAGGTTAAAATTAATATTGTAAATTAGTTTTTTTTTATATCATCAGTCGGTAACACAATAATATGTTTGGTTGGTAACATAATTTTGTAAGTACCCACTTTTAATCGCACTGGTCACGTTTAAAACTTCCACATCTATTGTTAATACACAAGGATGCTATATAATTAAGGATTGCTCGATCACTGAATTTTTTCGCCGCGTGTAGTGACGTCACTGGCGGACCCAGACGCACCGCATGCTTTGATTTTTCGATTTGGGCACCACTTTCATTTGTATTTTATATTATGTAAGATTCTAGGAGCTCCTTCTCAAGATGCGTTTTTGAAACGCTGCGCAGAGGGTCTTCGAAAAAAAGATACGGTTATGCGGAAATTTCTCAGATAAGTAAGAACTGAAGTTTATTACAAGTCTCTTCTGTACAATTTCTGTTATAATTTTCGAATTTGCCACACCGTGCTACAATGGTTTTTACCACACAATATGAAGTATTTAGCCTAATACGGCTTCGCCTTCCTTCAAAGGTCGAACTACAACCCTCAGATATCAGTAATAACAATCTTAAACATAACAAACTTAGCTTTATATACAAAATATCAGTACACAAATATGTACGCTCTTTACTAAGGCACAAGTAAATCAACTCTCCTCAAACCAGACACCATTTTTTAATGGCGTGAAGGCGCTTCTGAAAATCGCTTCGTGCTACTTGTGGCGCTGCAAATCGCACCGTGTGAAGGGGTCACGCTACCAGCTGCTTCAAAAAACGACTGGTACGAAGGGGCTCTAATACGTCCAAATGGATGTGGTAGGTAGGTATTTAAATTAGAAACACTTGTCATTTATCGTCTACAAGTCTACAAATTCTCTTTTTTACGCATACTCAAAATGTCGTGAACATAGGATCCTTTGCAATGAGTGCTACTACTGGTCACGTCATTGCATTTTAGCAAACAGTCATGGTCGAGGCTTAAGCGAAATTTTGAACGATTATTCCAATAACGACTTTACAGCGACATGCAAAATTTTCTAGTGTTGTCGAAAACTTTGAAAGTGTAGCAAAGCAATCAAGTGGTACTGACTGTATTGTTATAATGGCCGGTGCAAATGATGTTATGTCTCATAACTTCAACTTACAAAATATAAATAATAATTTACTTCAACTACTTAATCTTAATGTAACTATTAATACGTTTTTTGTATCAATCCCATTCAATTTTACTAACCCTCGGTACAATACAAAAATTTTTCTCCAACCACCTGAATAAGACGCTATTTTGTGACAGTGTTCGGTACGTAAAATTGACGTTTTGCGGATTAATCGCCTTCACCATGGCAACTGTACAAAAAGTGGATACTTTTGGTCCTAGTACCAAAAAGAAATTGACCTTGAAAGTTGGCCAATTAAAAAATTACATATGTCACATTGACATAGTTTTACCGTTGAGTGAATCCTTCACTCAACGGTTTTACGTTGCAGGTTGTAAGATATTTCTATACATACAAATCAAATATATTGCATATTCAATGCAAATAATGCTGTTACCTATACGTATGTACATGTATTGAAAATGATTTACGCTCGCTATTTTTATTTAAACCATGTGTAACGTAATTTACATATTCGGTGCACGTAATTATTATACGTATACAACCTGCCGTCGCGCGTAACGCCATCTACTTTAGACCCATTGCACTATTATCTGTCATTTTGAATTCAAAATTGCAATTAATTTTAATTAAAAAACTGTATGGTAAGTTTTTTATTTCAATACAAAATATAACAATATTAATTGTGTATACAATAGAAATGACTGAAACTGATAGCGACATGGATTGCACTCCGCCAGAGATTATAGAAACGGCAGAACATGCTACCTTAGATTTGCTCCCTACAAAGTCGCGAGAGGAGAGAAGTAAGAAGTAAGAACGAATAGGTTATAAGTTAACCTAAAAACTAGAGTGGCATGACACGTGAGGACAAGAAAGCAGAAGTTCTCATACTAGTAGTGAAACTGTGACTGAATCTATTGGTTAAATTCGAATATAATTTGAAGTAAAGGGGGTTGGAGAAAAAATTTTATGTTTTATTCGTACAAAAAATGCGTTTTCGGGACTCGGAAGGTTGCTGGACTCCGCTAACGCGTCGTCCAGCAACTATCTTCCTCGTCCCGAAAACTGTCATTTTTTGTACTAATGAAACAAATAACTATAGTGCGATTAACAACCTATTGCAACGTATCACTTATAATAGAGAAAACTTTTACTTTCTGGACGTAAATCAAGTTTTATTAAAAATGGATTTCGTACGGAGCGGCATTCATCTAAACAGGCGTGCTAAAATTAAGCTGTCAAGGGTCCTTGTGCAAAAAATTTCCTTGACAAGGATGGATAAGGTGGGTCCCATAGTGGAACATATTCCGGTGGTAATCAACGGTTCAGTAAAGAGCTCACAGGAACACAATTTCACCTTCAGTAACACAAGAAATTTTTTAGGATTAAGAAAGACCGCTGCCCATTACTAACGACGGTAAAATTAGAATTAAGTTTTAGACATAAAGTAAAGTTCATCGGGTTTCCGGGTAGTGGTGAGGGTTACATTCCTAAAAGGTCGGGTAATAAGCGCCTCACGAACGTCAAAACTTCAAAAAATGACAACAATGTGCATCTGTTTCACATTAATATACAGTGTTTATCAAATAAACTTGAACAACTGTCCTTATTTTTAAACGAATGTGATACCGACTTTCTCTGCCTTTCCGAACACTGGTTGAATGAAGACAATCTAGCTAGACTCTGTAAAAATTCCTGGATATAAGTTAGGGTCTAAGTACTGTAGAGTTAAACAAGTCCATGAAGGTGTTTGTATTTTTTGTAAAGACTATTGAATGTGAATCTGTGTGTAAAACAATTCAGCGCAGAACTGGATGCTGAGTTTTGCGGTGTTTTAATTCCAATAAGAAAAATTGTTATTGTTACTGTATATAGATCACCAAAAGGTGACATATTTTTAGAAAAATTAGAAAGTGTTTTGGCCTTCTTTTCGCAAAGGTGTAATTACATTATCTTAGCAGGAGACTTCAATGTTAATTTTATTGTTAAATCTCTTATCTGATTTGTTGTCTGTCACCGTATCTTTGGGCTTAAAAACTACGATTGTGGATTACACTAGAGTCACTGCGAGCACTGCCACATGCGTTGATAACATCATCTTGAATTTGACTCAGAACACTTTTCAATGTGAGGTGATTGAGCCTTGTTTATCAGACCACAGGGGTCAGTATTTAACTTTTAAAAGTCAAATTCCGTCAAATAATACACCTCGCCCAACACGAACTTATTCATGTAAAAACATTGAAAATTTTAAAAGTGATTTACTCAATGTCAACTTGTGCATTGTTGACACCGATATGAACAATTCTACTTCCATGGCGAATTACTTGGTTAGTCATTTTCAGTCATTAATTCCTGTTCACCAAAGATCAAATTACACTGTTCACTTTCCTCTACGTGATAAGTGTAGGGGTGCCAACAAAAATCCTGTATACTGGTTTAAACAAGGAACTAAAATGTATGCGAAGTAAACTCAGGTCCTTAAAATCAATTTGTGAAGTAAATAAAAACCATAGTCAGTTAAAGACATATAAGAGGGAATACCGCAGAGCTATAATCTCTGCAAAAAACATTGCATATGACAATTTTCTGAATAAATCCAACAACAAAATCCGAGATACATGGAAACTAGTCAACTTTGAACGTAATAAACATAGCTCACAGAAGAATCAATCTTCAATCACGTCAGAGGATTTTTCAACCTTGTATCTTGAATAGTATTTATCTGATCTATACAGTTTTGTCTTAGATTTTAGAAAAAAAGGGGATGTGGTTCATATTACCAAAGAGGGAGATAAGTGGGTGTGGCAAAATTTTAAGAAAATATTTATATGTAAACATATAAAGTACGATCTTGTAAATTTGGTTGAAATTTCAGCTCATCCCGAAGATTAGGAATACAAACCTTGTTAGAATGCCTGGGGTGACATTTGCTCACATTCTGTAGATTAATTTGAAATATCAATTACGGTAAGTAGGGTTACACGATTTCATTTACTCTCCTAAAATGCATTATTAATTAGACTACGACTAATGTTATAATTTATTTACAATTTAAATATTCATATTGCTGTTTTTGTTTTACCTTCAATAATTATTCGCCTTAAATGTAGACTACCTACCACTTTTTAAATTTATCTGCCCCACAAAGTTTGCTGGGCGCTTAATGCTTACTTATCGCAGGATAAAAGTTTTCCACTTTACATTCTAAAAGTCCCGTGCAATAAAGAAATTGCGCCACATTACACTGAATTGCCGTTAATATACGCCTTAGTAATTCTAGTCAATTCTTTCAGGTTAGTTTGTCCCGACTGAAAGAATCTGTCGCACCGTCTGATTTGGATAAAAATGCGGAAACCCTATTGGAGGAATATTATCCCTTCGCTACCGTTCTACGTTTTAGAGTACTGCAGGTAATTAAATTTCGTTTAATTAAATTTTGCTTTAAACGTATATCTTAAATAAGTCCCGATTGATCGATGAATACTTTGAATATTTGATAAAAGCATTATAAGAATTCGTTTCAAGCGTGCACCGAAAATTTAATTTAGAGGGAATGTTCAACTTTCTGGGTAAATGTCGTTAATGACTTTGCAGACTGTTTGGTATTCGAACGGTTTGCCACTTCTTGACATATTCATCCCATTGTAAGATTAGGTATACATTAGCTATCTAAGCTATCGTTTGCCTTTCTTTGTCTTATCAACTTACAACATGCTAATTTGAACAACAGCTGCAATGAAAGTAATTGGGAAACCGCAATCCGTTGCAGATTAATTATCAATTAGGTAATTAACTTTAATCAAGTCCTATTCAAGAAGGCATATGAAATAAAATTTTTCTTTTTAATTCCAGATCGTTTGTGGTATTTCATTTTTAATTGTGGGAACGGTCGCTTTCATTGAAGAGAGGGGAGAAATAAATTTGTCTTTAGGAATTCCCGCTGGAGGATCAACCATAGTTGCTGCAGGTATGATACGCTTTCTATTTTTAATTTGCGTAGTCCGTACAACGGATTTATTCGCAAAAGTATTTTCATCAATATGAACACGGATATAACAGATGTTGACAATTAAAATGTAATTAACTGCTTTTGTAGTATTTACACAGGCCCATGTGACTCGTAATTGAAAAATAATTGGAAAACGTGATTGTCTATTGAATTTGAATTGACTTTGCCAAAATGTCTTAAATTATACGAATATGATACAGTACGTAAATTTTAAGTCTTAACATCAATTCTCGATATACTCGTACATTATACAAGTAAATATTTTTGAAATGTTTTTCAATAAACGTCAATGTTATTGTTATTTATGGAAAAATGTAAAAAAAGTAATCTCGAAAATTAACACTTTTATTAAGTAAAATTCATCCGATCTTTTTGAGAATCCGTATTTAGTAACTTCTTTTGATAACAAAACAATATGACAAACCAGATCACCGTAGGTTTCATACTCATTGATTAATTAAATAAACAAGTAGAAAAAGGGATGCTTTGTCTTTCAAACTGGGGGACTACAAGAGTGTTCCCAATTTTTTTATACATAGTGAAACCGTAAAACAATCTTTTCCAATAATTGTCCCGATTCGTTCAGTGAAATGACAACATCCAGTTTATACTACTTTTAGAGCTAATTTGACTGGACTATTAAGCAACCTACGTCAATACGATTGATCAAGTGACTGCGCTCAGTTGTCAGTAATAAATAAGTAATGCGGAATAAGAATAAAACAGAAGTATACTAAACTAAACAACTTGCTTAACTGTACAAAATTATACATTATGAAGAGGTGTTGTAATTATTGTAAATAGTAATTGTAACGGTTGAATTTACTCCTGCATTGACTGAAATGCCGGGCAGATTTTGCTGCAACACATTAGTATTTTCTGGGTTACCTAATTCAGGCTGTATAAAACCAGCATTGGAACTGGAAGCTGTTGCTGGAGGAGCAGTAAAAGTAGACTGTCTAACTGATGGAGGTCCACCACTGTTGGACAACATTTCGGCAACTTCCATTTTTTTGCTACAGCACCGCCACTATTTTCATTTTTTCATTTTTCATTTTATTATTTGTGATCTATACAATAGTATTTTCACACGTCATCAGGTACAATTACATAATATTAAAAAAAAAAGACAAAGGACACGAGAACATGATCACACAAGGTACTGTTGCTTTTAAAACTTAAATGTTATCAAATTTATCTTTTAAAAATTCTTCATAAGAATAAAAAGCTTTTCGTTTAAGGTAACTATTTACACAGTTTTTAAATGCGTGCAAATCTAAATATTTTATTTGTTTTGGCAAGACATTGAAAAATTTCATGCCGTAAAATGTAGTGCCATCTTTGGTCTTGTTTAATGTATGAAACGGTATATAAAGATTCTCTTTGTTCCTTGTATTGTAAGTATGAATATCCGTGCTTACAGTTAGTAAGTAGTCATGTGTTCTTTAGTATATATTAAACATTGCTGTATGTAAATGCAAGGTAATGTCAATATATTTAATTCGATAAAACCCTGACGACAACAATCTCTGTATTTAAGGTTTTTTAATAATCGTATACATTTGCGCTGCAAACCAAATAATACTCGAGAGTGGGCAGAATGGCCCCATGCAAGAATTGCATAAGATAATACCGAATGAAATATGCCATAGTATGCTGCCATAACAGTTTCCTTCGAGTCACCCTTATTAAATTGCGAATCAAAAATAGTGCTCTAGCTAATTTAACACGCTGAACGTTAACATGTTGGTCCCACTTCAACTCCGAATCAAGTGTTACGCCCAATAATCCAAGCCCTCTGCGTTCGCTTAATACTTTGGTTCGTTTAAGGGTTAATACCAAATGTTGTATTTTAGCTTTATTCATTAGCAATTTATTTGACTTGAGCCATTCTTCTACCTTACTTACAGCTGAGTTCGTACCGGGTTCAATATTTTGTACATCGTCATATAGATTAATTAGGGTTGTATCGTCAGCAAAGATAATATGACGTGTATTTGGATCACAATTTGGAAGATCGTTAATATATATAAGAAATAAAATTGGCCCCAAAACTGATCCTTGTGGCACACCATGTTTGACTTCCGATATTGTTGACAGACAATTGTTATATGACACATATTGTAGACGGTTCGTTAGGAATGACTGTATTAATTTTGCACTACTGTTGTCAAAGCCGTAAAGCCTAAGTTTGCTCACTAAAATCGTTTGAGACACGCAATCGAACGCCTTACTAAAATCCAGACACGTTACTCGTACATATTCATTACTTTCGAATCCGTCGGATACTAATCGCGTTAATTGACTTAAAGCTAAGGTAGTTGATTTTCCTTTACGAAAACCGTATTGACACTCACTATACAAATGATTATTCTCAAAGTATTCTTCAATTTGCATTTTTAAAACGGATTCAAAGATTTTACTGAAAACGGAGGTTATAGAGATGGCTCGGTAGTTATTCAGATCCGCGACAGAGCCTTTTTAGCGCATTTCCACAAAAATAAAAAAAAAATGCGCTATTGTGGCCACTTTGTCCGTCCGTCCGTCCGTCCGTCCGTCCGCTAACTTTGCGACGCTACTAGTTTTTTTATCTTAAGAGCTATTGTTCTACTTTTTTCGCTATTTGGTTCGTTATGGTGTCGAGTCTTGTACCAAGGAAGGAATTTTTTCTGTACCGCTTACAAAAAAAGTTATTGTAAAAAAAACAAAAAACCGTTTTTTACATGTTCCATAATTTTACACTTTTGCCGTTTATTAACGATCCTAGAGATCGTTTATAATTTTGGATTGCTATCTGTCGCCTGCCGGTTGGTCTCTCCGTCTGTTCCTTTGTCTGTCTGTCCATCTATCTGTCCGTGTGAACGATAACTTTGTTTAGAAATGTGCTATCGCTTTTACATCTCCGTTAGTTATGAATTGAATTGCATGAAATTCAATATGGGCATAGATTTAGCCATATAATACGCAATGCCAAAAGTTGGATCGAATCGATTCAAAATTCACAGTGCCCTTTTCGCATATCGACCATTTATAAACCGAATTGCAAACTTTTTTACTTATAAAAGTATTTGAATGAAATTTGATACATAGGCACTTGAAATAAAGGAAAATCAAACGCCAATTTCAAAATTTGGTTTTGCGCATGCGCAGTGCCAACTTTTTTATTTATGGAAGAATTTAAACGAAATTTATCCATAGGCACTTGGGATAAAGGAAAATCAAACGCCAATTTCAAAATTTGGTTTTGCGCATGCGCAGTCCCAACTTTTTTATTTATGGAAGAATTTAAACGAAATTTGATACATAGGCACTTGGGATAAAGGAAAATCAAACGCCAATTTCAAAATTTGGTTTTGCGCATGCGCAGTGCCAACTTTTTTTATTTATGGAAGAATTTAAACGAAATTTGATACATAGGCACTTGGGATAAAGGAAAATCAAACGCCAATTTCAAAATTTGGTTTTGCGCATACGCAGTGGCAACTTTTTTATTTATGGAAGAATTTAAACGAAATTTATCCATAGGCACTTGGGATAAAGGAAAATCAAACGCCAATTTCAAAATTTGGTTTTGCGCATGCGCAGTGCCAACTTTTTTATTTATGGAAGAATTTAAACGAAATTGGATACATAGGCACTTGGGATAAAGGAAAATCAAACGCCAATTTCAAAATTTGGTTTTGCGCATGCGCAGTGCCAACTTTTTTATTTATGGAA